GGGTCAGGTCAAAGCCAGGAGCTTGGAGCTCCATCTGGGTCTCCCCTGCGGGTGCCAGGGACTCAAGCTCTTGGGTCGTCGTCTGCTGCCTCCCAGGTGCACAGCAGGACGCTGGAAGCAGAGCTGGGACGCCCGCCCCATTTCCTAAGATGTAAATCTCAGGCCAAGGAAACCACCACGTGCTCTGCCCCGCTGCTCCTCCCGGTGTCCATCTTCCCGCGCCCCACCCTACCTGCTGGGGGCGGGGCCGCTGAGAGACAGACTGAGGGCCCGCCTTCTCATGCCACCTGTCACAGGGGAGCGTACGCTCAGTACCATCAGCCCTCTCGGGCGTCCACTGAGGGTCTGGGTGCACCCCTGTGGATGAGGGGTGGCCTCACTCCACACTGCAAGGACTCTCCCCGCCCACAGGGCCCTGCTGAAGTCTGACAGCGCCAGCGGGGCTCAGAGACCGAGGGAGCGAGGGTGGCGGGGAAAGTGTCTCACGCATGGACCGCCATCTCCCTCTTTCCCGAGGGGGACTGAACTGGTTATCGGGTGGGGGGGGGGGCAAACGGGCTGGGGCAGCCTCTCCAGTAGCAGCTGAGACAGCGGCTTGAGAGAGGCAGGAAGTTTGCCGCTCTAAAAGGCAAAGATTAAGACCCAACTCCAGGGTGTGGCAGGGGAGGTCAGCAGGGGGACAGGGGGCCGTGGCTCATCTGGGCCCATCCAGGGTGGGGGAGGGGACGCAAGGCATGGGAGAGGGGAGTCCCACTGGGGCAAGGGGGAGCTGCAGCCGCCCCCACCCATGAATCGCTCCTCCTGCCAATCGCGTGTCCAGTGCCTTCCCTGCTGTGTCAGCCCCTAGCTTGACCCCACGGCTCACTGGCCAGCGGCATACCAACGAGCGCTGTGTGGGCAGAGTCTTGATGACACCTGCTTTGTTTGAAACACCTCTGGCCGTTGCCCCCAACCCCAGTCAGCCTCCAGGGATGGATTCTGGGCAGAGCTGTTTCCAAGCAGGTATCTTGGCCACTGGGCCCAGGACCAGGCTCCTCCCCCTGCACCGGCCCAGCTGGACAGCGCCTCTCCGGCAGCCCTGGGATTCCTTTGTTTGCTGGTAAGGAGCTCTGTGAGGACAGGTGGAATGTCTGTGGCCATCTGCCTGCTCCCGGCCCCTGCCACCCTGGCCTGCTCGTCAGTCACCAGCCGCTGTTTGCTATTGCCACACCCAGGGAGTGGGGGCTGTGTGTCGCTGCTCCAGAGGCCAGGGCCAGTGACGTGGGCTGAGCGCTGAGGGGTGAGAGGGGCCCAGGCAGAGGGAACAGAAGGTGCTGTGAGCAGAATGGGACCAGGGCGCAGCGCGGGGAGCAAGTGCAGGGGAGAAGCTGGGAGGGGTTGGGAAGGGCAGCTGTGTGCCAGCAAGGAGGCAGCCGTGTGCGTGTGCATGCGTGTGTGTCCAGAGCAGGGCTTGTCAAACAGCACCCATCGCAGGGACCTGCCCGGGTGTCTCTGGGGAAGGGTCAGTGCATCCGCTGGGGAGAAGGGGAAGCGGACACTGAGCAGGGGACACTGGGAACTCCCGGTGACGGGAAGGAGGCATTGGGGGTGCACAGTGCAGATAAGTCAACAGAATTAATTATTGGCCGTGGGACTGAGGGCAAAGACAGGAAGGACTGTCGGCCACTTGTGCAGCCTGAAAGTGCTGGTGACCAGAGCCTTGCTCTGCGGAGACCATGGAGACTGGCACATTCCACTGCGGTCCTTACGGGGAGACTGGCGCATTCCACTGCGGTCCTTGCGGGGTGAAGCGGCTCCTGCCCTCCCATCACGGCTGCTCCCCCTCCCCCACCTCCCTTCCCCCACTGGCATTCCCTCCTCCTCCCAGGGAAGGGGGCTCAGATCTAGCGAAGGCACAGGGTGCTGCTATGTTAGGGCCACTCTTGAGCGAGGTATGAGAATGCCATATTCTTCGTGGCTCCCTGAAGTCCCCGGGTGGCAGGTGCGCAGCGTGTCACTGCCGGCAGCCCCCACAGAAGGCAGCCCCCACAGAAGGCCCTGAATCTCACCCTCTAGCCAGGATGGAGGCCCAGGAGACCCAGGCCCTGGGGCACTGGGGCCTGGGGCACTGAGTGAGGCCCCTTTTCTTCCCTCGGGGTTGGGCTAGTGCCCAACTTTTTGATTATTTGCTCTTGAGCTGGAGGGAGGGCTGTTGTCAGAACCCAGAAACCAAAACCAAAACCTAAGTATGAGAATTAATGACGCAGGTCTCCCCACGCCCTCCCCGTGGGGAGAAATGTCACAATTTCCTGACTCCCACCAGAGCTGAGGGAGGCACTGGGTGTGTCTCGGTTCTTAGGGAGGGGCTCCTTTCTCGTGGGACTGTACCTGCGTGTGCGTGCGTGGCACAGGGAAGGGACTTAACATCTGCACATACAACCCGTTCTCTGTCACATCCTAGGCTTCGGAGTCCCCTTGGAACACCGGGGAGCTGCCTGCTGCAATCCACCGTGCAGCGGGGCAGAGGAGACCAGGGACGGAGGAGGGCGCTGGTGCTGGGGCTGAGCCCCGTGTGTCTCCCATTTCCTGGTCCTGTGTTCCCCGCCAGCCCCTCCGCTGTGGGCTCAGCTCAGAGTAAACACCGATGGCTGATGATAAACTCGCTTCACCAAGTGCACCTGCTGTGGCCGGCGGGAGCCACCAGCAGAGCACAGACCCCCTCCCCAAAGCCCTTGGAGGAAGGACCAGAGGCCACGTCTGCTCCTCGCCTTTGCCACCCCGACTTGTCCCGGGGGGTCACCCTGAGCTCGGAGCCAGCGGGAGCCGGGGCGTCCCTCCTGGGGGTGGACACCAAGGCCTTGCGTCTGTGAGGAGCTCCCTGTGCTGTGCACACTCAGGGTGGGCGCTCGGGTCTGCACACTGAGCTGGGGGTGCTGTACGAGCTGGGCTGGGATGGGGGAGCCTGGTTCTGGGGGAGTGTGAGCTCCTGACCAGTGGCGCTGGCCACAGGTGCGGCTGTGTGCTCCTCGCTGGGCGAGCGCTCTCCCGCAGGCTCCCGGGGTCACTTTGCTTACGGCCGATTCTGCTGCCCAGAGCGTCTTTTGTACCCAGCAAAGCTGTCAGGACCCAGGCCTGCTGCCTGTCCCTGGTGCACCTCTGCTGCTGGTCCCTCATGGCTCTCAGATAGCTGCCTACCTCCAGACCTCACGTCTCATCCCGGGGAGAAAGACCTGCATACCCTTCTAATGGGGCAGCAGAGGGTGTGGACCAGGACAGGGGCTTATGGGGACTCCCGATGTCTTCCTTCTGAGACCCTGCTTGTCCCTCTCCCTCTCTGAGGCCCCTCCTGGGTGTCCCCAGCCTTGGCCGGCCACCCTCTCTTCTCTGTCCCCAGACACACGGTCACTGTCTGCTGATGCTGCCCCATCCCCGTCAGGCTCCTCCTCCCACCCCCAACCTGTGTCTCCCGCATCTTGGCAGCTACGTTGGTTGTCCCGTGAACAGTCTACATGTGGATTCCGTGGAGCTGGAAAGACAGAACTGCCCCTCCTTGCCCAGGGACCTCGGCCTTGGCGAACAGCGGCAGCGACAGTGAGCGGCTGTGGGCGCAGATGGGGCGGTTAAATGATAGGCGAAGGTCCCGTGCCGAGGACTGTGTCTGGGACACGGTTATTAACCAAGGCAAATAGTGACTTTACTATTACAAAGAGGGGAATTCTGTCCATCAATGAATCACCCAGTTCAGAAACAATGTATCATCCCACCAGCACCCATGCAGGTCCCACGGCACCCATGCAGGTCCCATGGCCTGCAGCCCAAGCCTGGGGGTGGTAGCTGCTCCCGGAGCCCCAGGTGCACTCGGTTGGGGGCCTGGGGTGAAGACTGAGGCCAGGGGGGAGGCAGCTGGAGACCCTGAGGGTCCCACAGGGCACGAGGAACCCAGACTCCCCCTCCCCCTGCTGGAGGCTTTGTGTCCTGACACCGAGGTGGGCTGCTCAGGGAAGGGCAGGCCTGTGGGAGGTGAGTAGGGGTGGGGGGTGAGCCGTGGCCCTTGTCCCGGGACCCCCGTGTGCAATGCGTGAGTGTGGACCAGGAAGGGCAGCCGGGAGTCAGATCTATGCATGCCCCCAGGACACCATCACCCAGGAAACCATGCACGACGCAACAGAGAAAGGTCCTCAGCACCAGAGGGGACGAGGTCTGGGGACAGCTGAGGGCCCCCGAGGCCGGGGATGCCGGGCTGAGCTTCTGCCCTTAAAGCACACACTGGCCGGTCTGGGCAGGCACAGAGCCAGACACTCAGTTCAGGCGGCCGGGACAAGACTGTCCCTAAGACATGGGCTTCCTCTGGGTGGGACAGACGTGGCCTAAAAGGAGCCAGAAAGATAGAGGGGCAGCCCCCTGGGGCTCACGTGGCAGAATCTTCCAGAAGGCAGGTGTGCAGGCAGGAGGGCCAGGGAGGGGCCGTGGACTACATCTGTCGCCAGATCTGGGGCTGGAAGAGAAATATCACCCAGTGGCCGCACGTCCCTGAGGCCGCTTGCTGGGCCGCCTGGGTGGTCGGTCATATGACCTCTCCTGCCTTTGTTTTCTCCTCTGAGTAATGGGCTCAAACTCTCCTCTCTGGTCTTGGTCCTTGGGAGGACTGACCGGAGGCAGGGCTCAGCCCACCCGGGCGCCCTTCTTCCCCCCAGAGCCCAGGACAGAGGCCTGGCAGCTGCGTCTCAGGCCTCAGGCTCCCCCCACGCTGCAGCTGCCCACACAGGGCCGCCCCGTGCTGCCTGCCTGCTGTGAGAGTCGAGGGCCGGGCTGCCCTGGAGCCTGCTGATGTAGACTGAGTCTTGGGTGGGGCTCTGTCAGGGTGTGGACACCTGTCTACTCTGCTTCACCTGTTCCCTGAACCTGTGGGCAGGGCTCCAGCTGGAGCTGTCACCAGGGCAGAGGCATCAACACCAGGGCCAGCCCCGGGAACACAGCTGAGAACTTCCGTCTCTGCCAGTGGCCTGTGCGGCCTGAACCGTGGAAGGGGTGGGGTACAGCACAGCCAACCCAGAAACTTCCAGGTCCCTCCGATGACATATAAGGCTCCGGGGCCCAAGAGCTTGCAAGAGGAGCCACCGCAGGCTGCGACAGTGATAGGAGCCAGGAAGCGACATGGAGGACAACGCGGCCCCGGAGCCCAGGTACCGCCGGCCCCGTGTGGCTCCTCTGCCCCTGAGCCTACCCCAGGGACTCAGCCACTCCCTCCAGGCATTGCTACTGGGGCCACGGGGACTCTCTGGTAGTCCTGACTCCCTCTCTCTGGGCTTGACCTCCGCAGCCAGGTCACGGGTCCTGCTCCTTGCTGGCTGTCCGTGGTCATGGGGGGACGCGGTCAGGACGACGCACGCATTCCTCGCTGCCCCGGGCTCACCCAACCCTGCCCTTTCCATTGCTGCCCTCTAGGCAGGGTGGGGGCATGTTTTCTGCCAAGGACCATTTAGAGATTTATGACATCACTGCAGGCCGTGCACCATTAGCCTGCTATAGATTGATCGGATTTTGAGTCTTGTCTGTAGCTGCCCAGGGAAGGCCAGACCGGATGATTTTGCGAGCCTCCTGTGGTCGATGGGCTGGCATTCCCCACCTGTGCCTTGCTCGTCCCGGTACACTTGACACTGAGCTTGGGGTAAGGACCCGCCGTGTGTCTGTGCGTCAGTCACTCGGGCCCTGGGCCAGGCAGGATACACGGCTCCATGTTCCTGCAGCCCAGGGCTGGCCCGGGAGGCTCGGGCCTGAGACCTCTGGGAGATGGACAGCGTGGTTTCTGGATCTTTCTCAGCTCTGCCAAAGCACATGCGTGTTGACTGGAAGAGCTTTTCGGGAAGACAAGGGAGGGCTGGGTGGGGGTGGGGGGCACCTCGGCACGGAGTGGGGCAGGAGGCAGCGGGTATGGGGCTCAGGGCTGCTGCTCAGAGCCCCGCGGATGCCCACGTGGACCCTCACAAGGAAGGCAGGAGGAGGGGCGCAGGCTGGGTGTCTCCTACACACTGCACAGATACAAAGAGCGCCCCTCTCTATCACAAATACGGCTGAACACCTGGGGCAGACAGGTGTCCAACACCATAGTCAAAGGACTTCCGGAAAAGAGGCTTTCTTTCCAGAATGGAGGTGAGGAAGTGAGGAAGGACCGTGGACCAACCAGGAGGCTGGGGACACCCGGGCTGGCGGAGTCTCCTAAGCAGGCGGCTTTGCGGGTTCCCCACCGCTGCAGCTCAAGACGCAGGAAGGCGGCACAGAAGGCATCAGCCGCTCTCCGAGCAGCCCTGGGGAAGGCAGGCGGCCTCCCATGAGGGGGTGACTGCAGTGCTCGGTACCCGCGGGGCAGCGGCGCGAGGGCCCCAGCCTACGCGTCCACAGCCGGAGCAGGAAGTGCAGGTGCACGACACAGAGCCGCTGGGACACGCAGCCCAGCCCAGGGACTAACCACGAGCCACGGGGGATGCGCAGCCCGGGGACTCCTCCCGCCCCCTTCCCGTGCTTCGGGGGATGCGCCAGCAGAACAGGGGGCCGGCTCAGAGGGAGGGCATGCCAGGCTCCAGGAAACCCTGGCCCCTGCCCAGCCGGCAAACTAAGGGAAGGTCCAGACGACAGCTGACCTGGCAGGCGACCCACGCGGGGCCAGGGGCTGCCCAGGGCTCTAGGAGGAGTGGCACCTTCAGTGGGACACCACGCGGTGAGGCTCAAGGGCAGTGGGTCCAAGAGAGACGGAAGGGCTGGGGGTCGCCCGCCGGCTGTGGCTGCGGTCGGTCTCCACTCCTTTCCACAGCAGCTCTTCCAGTTCTCTTTGGGGACCTGGCCACCTCCATGGACCACAGCCTGAGGGGACAATCACAAGCAAGGACGGCTTGGAGGTCAAGGGCAGACAATGTGGCCCCTCCTTTGAATGGAGCAAAGGTTTTGTCCCCCGGTGCAGCCTCAGGACTGCCCTTGGTCCCCTCCCCCTAAAACCCACTCTGGTGCCCCCCATCCACCCCTTTCACGTCCAAACAGGGTCAAGGAGTGTCTAGGAGGAGACAAGCAGGGGCCCTTCTGATGAGCTGCCCGTGGGATGCAGGCCTGTGTGGGCCTGGCTGCAGAACATCGCAAAGGGGAAGCCACTTGAACTTGACACAGGAAGACTTTAAAAGATAGATTTGCTTTATTTGAAAGGTGGACTTAGAGAGAGACAGGGAGAGAAGAAGAGAGGGAGAAAGGGATGGAGAAGAGAGAGGGGGAGGGAGGGGAGATGGGGGGGGAATCTTCCATCCACTGAATCATCCCCAAAAGCCAGGAGCCTAGAACTCTGTTTGGGTCTCCCACATGGGTGCAGGGGCCCAAGCACCTGGGCCATCTTCCACTGCTTTCCAAGGTGCATTAGCAGGGAGCTGGGTGAGAAGTGGAGCAGCCAGGGCTCGAACCTGCACCCATAGGGGATGCCGGCGCTGCAGAAGGGGGCTTAACCGCTGTACCACAAAGCCAGCCCATGCGTCAGATCACCACATGAGCAGCCCTGTGAAAGGTGACTGTGCAGAGACAAACACTCGCTGAGCTTCGGATTCCGGATTCCGACGGGGGAGTGGTGCTTCCCTCCCTCGCACAGTAAAACTGCAGGTGGCGGAGGTGGGAGGGGAGGAAGCAGAGGGCCGCCGAGTCCTGGACTTACAAAGATGGGAGCCGAGACTGTGTGGGTGAGAGGATGAGAGACACCGGTGAGGGTACAGTCGAGGGACAGAGAACTGGGACATCCCTTCCCGGACAGGGCTGGGGGAGGGGTAAGGGAGCGGTGCGGATTCTCCCCCAGCACAGCTGAGTTTGCAAATCCGAGGAGTGTCAGGAGAAGAAAAGCTCCTGGCATTCTCTCCCCTGGGAACCCACTCAGGACGTCTGCTGCGTGCCCAGGGCGGCACAGGCTCACCCTGCAGCAGGAGGGTCGGCCTCAGAGGGGCCACCTCCTGCAGGCGCTGGGGGGCAGCCAGGGCCGGGAGCAGCGCGGGGACCCTGGTGAGGCCCTGAGGGTGCTCCAGGGGGTCCTCAGAGGGCCAGAGAGAGAAGCTGGGTGGCTCCGGCGAGCGAGTGGAAGCCCCTCCCCTGACACGTGCCTCGGGAAGCCCGGAGCAGAGGCGAGGGGTGCGGGGCAAGGCATGAGGTGTCGTCCTGGGGGGCTTGTCTTTGCATTTCTTCCACCATTGTCCGAAGACCCCTGCTGGATCAAGGCACATTCATGGATCACTTTGCAAATGAAGATGGGGGCCGTGGGCTGAATGAGACCTACCTGTGCTACGAGGTGCAGCTGCTGGATGGGAGCTCCCAGCACCAGGGCTTCCTGCGCAACAAGGTGATTGTCCCAGCCCAGCTGCAGGCCGCAGGGCCCGCCCCGATCCAGGGGCATTGCAGGTAGACGGTTCCGGGCTGCACCTGTGAACTGAACCCCACAGTTCCTGCCACCTTCAGAGTCGGCAGCTGGGCTCTGAGGGGTGGCACAAGTCAGAAACAAGCCACATACTGCAGGCCTGGCCCCACAGGTCCAGTGCCTCGGCCACTCCCTTCCTGCTGTGCCTCTGAGGAGGGGTCAGGGCAGGACAGACAGGCGGCTGCACAAGGGCCAGGCGGGGGGCAGATCCACCAACTCCAGAGTGGTGCCATGGCTCCCCCAGGGCTGCAAGTCCCCAAAAAACCCTGCAGAATGGCTCTGCTGGGGGGCCCAGGGACACGTGACCCCGCAGAGAGCCTTTGCAAGAGTCTTCCTGGGGCAAAAAGCACCACCATCCCAGGAGGTCTGGGGTCACTGGCAGAGGAGCAGGCACTGACCAGGCTAAAGGACCCCTGACCTGGGACAGCCCCCGGCTGGGAGGTCGACTTCTGATTGGCTGCGGTCCAGGTGTGGGTGCTCCTCTGGTCACCACAGGCCAGGCAGGGCTCTGCAAGGACCCTCATGCTGCTTGAGATGTCCTGGCCAAGGGTCCCAGGCCCCATGACTGCCCAACCACACTGCCCATTCCTGTTTAAATGGTTGCTTTTTTTTTGTAATTTTCAATCTTAGAATTTTTGCATTGATTTTGGTAATTTAAATAAGCATTGAAAAATCATTCTTCTTGACTCTTGAGATCTTTGTAACCCTCCAGTTCTGTGCTGGAAGCCTCGCTGGCCAAGCACGTGGGCCATCGTCTGCAGCTTTCCCAGGAACATTAGCAGGGAGCTGGAAGTGGAGCAGCCGGGACTCGAACCGGTGCCTGTATGGGATGCCGGCATCACAGGCTGCTGGCCCCTCTCTCCCCTCTTTCATACGCAGCCTAGTTATCCAGACCCGTCACTCCGCCGCCATGTGGAGCTGTGTTTCCTGGACCTGGTCCCTGCCTGGCGGCTGGACCCCGCCCAGCACTACAGGGTCACCTGGTTCATCTCCTGGAGCCCGTGCTTCGTCTGCGCGCAGGCCGTGGCTGAGTTCCTGAGGCAGAACGCTCACGTGAGCCTGCGCATCTTTGCCGCCCGCATCTACACCTGGCGCACAGATTACAAAGCGGGGCTGCGAGACCTGCAGAGGGCCGGGGCGCAGATAGCCATCATGACCCCCGCAGGTGAGAAGGGCGGAGTGAAGGGGCCCAGGGAGCGGCTCCCACAGCCTGGGCAGGATTCGTGGGGAGGGGGAGGAAAGAGAACTCTGACTCCAGTCCACAGAGAGGGTTTGGTGAAGGAGCCGAGGCGCCCGGGGATGGAACTCGACACTGAGGTGCTGATGGGGACAGCCTGCTCCTGGGTCACCCCCGAGCTGCCTCTCCTCCCCCCGGCCAGGAGCTGACGTCACCTCTCCTGCCCTGTTCTAGAGATTCAATTCTGCTGGAACACCTTTGTGGACAACCAGAGTAATCCATTCCAGCCCAGCCTCGGGCTGGACATGCAATGCCAGCTCCAGCAGAGGGAGCTGCAGAGCATCCTCCAGGTGCCGCCCCTCCCCCGCCCTTTCCTTCCCGCCCCTCCCTGAGTCCCTCCTCTCCTAGCCAGCCTCATCCTCATCCTCATCCCCACTGTCACTGTCATCCTAACCGAGCCCAGCGCTCTCTCTGTTCCACCCTCCCAGCCACCTCACTTCCTGCTCCATTCAATTTCTCCCGGATCCAGGGTCTCCGAATAGGGCAGGAGCCCTCCCTGGAGCCTCACGAAAAAAGTTCTGCATCAGGGAATGGAGACCACGGACACCACGGACACCACGGACACCACGGAGACAGCCCTCCCCCGCCGTGCGCAGGCGCCCCAGACGGGACTGGAGCGATGCGCTCAGGGTGGGAATGAGACGTTTCTGAAAAATCAGGGTTCAGTCCTGTCTCCTTGAAAGCATGCCCTGGTATTTCACCCGATAGTAGGAGTGTGCGCAGTCCTCTCAGAATCGTCTTCGGTTCAGTAACGAACCACTTGTTTTCATTGGTCTTGAGTCCCGATCAATGCGCTGAAACAGACTCGCCCACGACTCAGTGTGAGTGCATCACGAAATCCACATTGCTAAACACGCACTTGCAAATGTGCGGACGCCTTTCTTTTCCACAGTGGGCCTGGGCGCGGGTGGGACAGGAGTCACGCTGACCCCTGGGGTGGGTAAAACTGAGCCAACTGACGGGAAGGGACCCAGAATTCAAAATCTACCTCGGCACCCGGGACACGGACTCCCCTGCGTTGCCGTGATGTGACAGCGCCGCCATCAGAGGAGAGGCGTGCTGGGTGCAAGCAAGCATCAGCAAAGTGCGCCCCCAGGGGCGTGGCTGGGGGAGTCCTGCTGAGCACCCTTCTAGGGAGGGAGGGCGCAGCCCACCCAGGTCACGCTGCCTTTTGGCGCCAACAACACCCCTCCCCCTCCCCATCTCTCCCTCTCCCCCTCCCTTCCCCCTCCCCTCCCCCTCCTCCTCTCCCTCTCTAACATTCTGTTACAGAGGCCAGTGACAGTCACACACTAAAATTTTATTTGAGAGGCGAGGCAACCGATCGGGACCAACACCCCCTACCAGAGTGCGGCCCCCAGTGGCGAGTCACACAGCGTTTTATAGAATCTGCCCACTCGGGCTCACAATTTTGAAACTTGTCATGCAGTCACCAGGCCCAGGATGGCGTTGTAAGATAAACGTGGTGCGGCACATTTCTCTAATCTTGGGCAGAACACTGGGTTGGGAGAATTGGAATTGGCCCCACACATCAGTCCCTGGAATTTGCCCCACACAGTTTCTCTCTCTCTCTCTCTTTCTAAGATATATTCATTTATTTGAAAGTCAGAGTTACAGAGAGAGAGAGAGAGAGAGAGAGAGAGGTCTTCCATCCGCTGGTTCACTCCCCAGTTGGCTGTAATGACCAGAGCTGCGCTGATCCGAAACCAGGAGCTTCTTCCAGGTCTCCCACATGGGTGCAGGGGCCTAAGGACTTGGGCCATCTTCTACTGCTTTCTCAGGCCATAGCAGCAAACTGGATCGGAAGTGGAGCAGCCGGGACTTGAACCGGTGCCCATATGGGATGCCGGCATGGCAGACAGCAGCTTTGCCCACTACACCACAAGGCCAGCCCCACAGTTTCACAAGATAGCCATTAGCAAGCAAGCAAGCAGGACTGATCTTTACCGAAGCGGGAAATCACACAGTTAGCTTTTAGCCACACTCACTCCACTTTGATTTCGACTCTCCATTTCTCTCTCCAACTCTGCAGTCTAAGGAAAGGAAGGGGAGGGGTCCAAGTTACCTGGAACTGCCATCCATTCAGGTGGTGCTGTCGGCTGAAATGGTTTCTTGGGAGCCTCCTGGGGTACAGTGGGCAGTCCCCCGCTCCGTGGCTGCTCCACCCACCACCCTCCCTGCCCTCCTCTCCCAGTGCCCCAGCGACCCGTGCTCCACAGCGGTCACTGAGCCAGGAGCAGAAAGGACCGCCCTAGCCCTCACCCCGTGTCCAGAGACTCCCTTCACACCCGCTGGCAGTGGAGGGAGAGCCAGGCCAGGCCGCCGGGGCCCCAGGCTACCCGGCGTCAGCCCCCCTCCGTGCTCAGCCCCCGGGAAGGACTTCTCCCTGGCGGCAGAAGGTGCTTCACCCAAACCGCGCCTGCCCGCTGGGGTCAACCACACTCCCGGCCCCAGGATTTTTAAAGAAACTCCAAACAAAACATGGAGAGCGGAGCAGGATCTGGTGAGGCGGGAGGCGAAGCGTGGGTGTCCCGGCCAGGGTTTGCAGTGATGTCCAGGGTCAGTCCCGACTCAGAGAACAGGGGCAGCCGGGGCTCCGGCTCTGCGGGCGCCCACTCAGCCGGCTGCTCTGGGTGACCTCGGCGACCTCCCGGCTTCAGCCTCAGGGCTGCTTCCTCACTGTCTGTGACTGAGGTGTGACCCAGCACCCAGCAGGCCACTCAGGCCAGCTCAGGCCACGCCCCTTTCTTCTGCCCGCCCAGCAGTCAGGGCCGAAAGCCCAGTGGCCGCCTCCCAGCCCAGCAACTTTTTTCTTGCTGCCCCTTCCTGAAGCGGACCCTCCCCTGGGGGTGAAAGCTGGTTCAAGTCCTGGCTACGCTGTTCCCAGCGCAGCTTCCCACTGACCCACACCCAGCGAGGCAGCAGGTGAGGGTGCAAGTGCGTGGGCCCCTGCCACTCACATGGGAGACCCAGATGGAGCTCCTGGCTCCTGGCTTCAGCCTGGCCCAGTCCTGGCCGTAGCAGGCATTTGGGGAATGAACCAGCAGAAGGAAGCTCTCACTGCCTTTCAAGTAGATGAAAACAAATAAGCATTAAAAAAAAAAAAAAAAGCCTCAGGCTGATGTCAACTGGACAACACATCTGGATACTGGGAAAAACAAAAGACAATCACAAAGCCAGGAGGAGGAGGGCACAGTCAGGGCCTGTATAAAAGCACGTGGTTTTCGGCTTATTAAAATCCTGTGCACTTTTTTTTTGGAAGAGGATTTTGAAGCATCTGGAACACGTGCAATTCGCCCGTGAGCGCTGCAGGGCAAGTCCGCTTTGCATCACCTGCGCGGCGCCCCGCCCTTTGCAGGCGGAGGCCACCTCGCGTGGGGAGCAGCGCACCTGCCGCCGCCAGGTGCCAACAACAGGTGCAGGTGTACCGCTGGCCGCATCTTCCCCAGCACAGGAACACAGGGCTCTGCGCTGGCTGTCTCGGGTTTGCTCAGACTTGCCCGCCGTCTCCCGCTTTCTGCTCGGGCTGCAGCCGCCCGGTCCGCCCCCTCCCCGGACCGCCCAGCCGGGGAAGGCTCCGCGCTCTCCGCTCGCTCCGCCCGGGCTGCTGCCTCGGGCCCGGCCCCGGCTGCCGCTGCTGCTCCGCCCGCCGCCCGCAGGGGGCGCACGCGGACCGGGCTTGGGGCACCGCGCTCTCCGGAGCCCCGCCTCCGCCCGCGCCCCTGTTGCTGGGACCTAGAGATGGGAAATCTTTAAAGAGTAAGCATATCTTTGTGTTTAAGCGCCACGTAGACCTCGGACCCAACACGACCTTAGTTTTCGTTCTTCCTTAACGAGAGACAGCTCCCAGCTGCGGCTTCACGCCCCGAGTGCGCAGCGGCCTTGCCTGGGCTGGGACCCCAGCTCGGAGCCCAGCTCTCACCCTGGTCTTCCAGGCCCCAGCCCCTCCGGGCAGGCAGCAGCAGGAAGCTGGGATATGCGGCCGGAGCGAGGCACTCAACCGGGCGCAGAAAGTGCGCACCCCTGCTTGTGGTTCTAGCACGGTGAGGAGCACTTGTGTTTGTTGAAAACCCGCACCGATGCAGCCAGAATGGGCAGAGCTGGGACCCACGGGCAGGGGAGCAGGCTGGGCCCGCGAGCAGCAGCCTGCAGCCAGGGAATCGGGCAGTGGTTTGCTGCGCTCTCCTGGTTGTGCCCCTTGCCCCACACCGTGGCCTCCAGAAGAGCTGGGCGATGCTACAAGACCCGCCCCCACGATCTCAGTGGCTTAAATCTGCAAAGCCTTTTTCCTTTCTTTTTCTAAAGATTTATTTATTTATTTGAAAGGCAGAGTTCCCGAAAGAGGTAGAGACAGAGAGAAAGGTCTTCCACTCCCCAAATGGCTGCAACAGCCGGAGCTGAGCCAATCCAAAGCCAGGAGCTTCTTCCAGGTCTCCCACGTGGGTGCAGGGGCCCAAGCACTTGCGCCATCGTCTGCTGCTTCCCCGGGTGCTTTAGCAGGGAGCTGGATCGGAAGTGGAGCAGCCGGGACCTGAACCGGCACTCTCATGGGATGCTGGTGCCACAGCGCCGGGCAAGGGCTTTTTCTCACTTCTGTTAACAGCATGGTGCTGGTGCTGGCGTGGGCTCTCCGCCTTGTCCTCATCAAGGGGTGCAGGCAGACACGGAGCCCCCAGCTGGAACACTGCATCCTAACAGGACAGGCACACCACACGGGACCCCTGCTGGCCTTACGGCTCCTCCTTGGAGGCAGGGTCACTTTTGCCCAGGTTTCATTGGCCAAAGCAAGTCACATGTTCACTCCCACAGACATGGGAGGGGGAGGACAGGAGACCCCGCACTTGCTCAGCTTCTTTGTGAAGCCCTGGGCCAATGACTCAGCTGGGAGAAGGGAAGACAACCCCACCCCACCCCCTACCCCCGTCATCGGCAGGCGGGCCCATCTGTTGGTCACCTTCCTATCCGGTCCCCACCTGAGGGCACAACCAGGGACACCCACGTCCCGTCACAGTGCCCGGTTTTCGTCTGATCCAGCTTCCTGCCAGTGTGCACCTGGGGGGCGGGGCAGCAGGCGATGGCCCAAGTCCTCAACATGAGAGACCTGCGTGGAGCTCCAGGTCTTTGGCTCGTCCCAGCCTTGTCCTCTGTGGGCCTTTGGGAATTGGACCAGCAGGTGGAAGAGCAGATCCTGGGAGGCAGCTGTGATGGCTCAAGCCATCGAGTTCCCGCCACCCAGGTAGGAGACCTGGACTGAGTTCCTGTCTCCTCCCTTCAACCCAGCCCAGCCCCAGCCATGCGGGCAGTTGGGGAGGGAAGCAGCCGATGGATGCTCTGTCTCTCAAATAGATAAAAATTTAATGAAAGAAAGCCGAGACTTAACACAAAGTATTAATGATCTAAAAACAGCGATACATTTTTTCCAAAGTGCCTGATTTTATTCATCCGCTTCCAGTTGCGCCCCTCGTCCTCCTGTCCCACACAGCATACATGGTGAAAGTTTGGGACACCAGGAATAAAAAAAAAAAAAAAAAGATCTTAGAAGCTACCAACAGGAAATCTCCTCTAGAAAGGAACCCAAATCAGATCAGCATAGGGTTTCTTGTTTGCAAGTTACTGTTCCCGTTGGTGCTATGTGGCTTTTTGTAGCTACTGTGTTGCATTGTGTCTTCTTGTCACAAACATGGATTCCTGCCTCAAAAGAGGATCTTCAAAATGGAAAGTAAAGGCCAGTACCGGTGCCGGCACAGATCCCGGGAGCGCACTGGGAACACAGCCAACCCTCAGGTGTCCACCTGGCCGTGGGATACAAAGCCGCGTGTTCTAGGACAAAGTCCTCGGTACTGATTCTGCA